CACTCTCGCGACCCTTGTGGATCAGAGGGAGATTTGCCACCATGCGACTAGTATGATACCAGGACGGTGGTCGATCCTTATTGGTACTGGTTTGAAGTTATCCGACTTTATTACAAAGTAACCCAATATGTTACACTGGGACGTCATGCTTTGAGACTTCGGCTTTCGTTTATCCTTCGTATGTCTTATGTTATCAGTTAGTTATTAATTACCAGCGGTGTCAGTTTTTTTTCACAGTCACTCAGTGATTCCCGTTATTGTTTATTTGACATCTGAACGCTTTCGTCACCGTCGTCGTCGTATCAGCTGCATCGGGTTGATTTTCCATAATTGTCAACATATGGTACAGTCAGTGTGTTATTGATTATGAAGAAAAATCTTCAGTTTACCTGTTGCGTCAAATGACAAAAGCGCTAAACCAGTTCTTAATGACGTTGGTGGCGCTGAGCATAGAAAAGTCGAAATTGGCATTTCGTTTTACCAGACGGCTTTTGCTTCCGATAAGACGACCGTCACAGATTCCATTCGTTCACAAAACCTCCTCAATCTTCGTGATCTTTCTTGCCGCCATCGACACTACTGTTATATGCACCTTCAAAAGAAAACAATACAACAGCTGACATTCGGCAATACAACAATCCTTTCAGCAGTCGATAGCTAGTCGTTGTTCTTTTGCTATGATTATCTGCGAAAAAATCCGAGTTTTCCGTAGTCAATTTCCAATCGCCCTGTCACGCACCAGTGCTGCCCTCTGAACATAACCTTTCGTCGCAGGAATTCATATATGAGGTTTTTTTCTTACTGGTTTTGTTGAAAAGTAGACATAGGCGGCTTAGCCTCTACTATGGGTTGGTTTTGCTTACAGTTAGGCTTCTCGATATAAATTTTTATAATAAAGGGTAATGCATAAAGCGTTGATCTGTTTCTAAAGAATGAGCTATGTATTTAACTTCAAGAATTCGACTGCAACTCATAGAATCCTATAGGTAATTCAATGCATATTTGCTTTATACAGTAACAGTGGCTTACGGATGTAATTATTCAGTGTTTTTATCCTCCAAGACTAGTCTGGTTCCAATTTGCTGACCCCGGACTGAAGGCGGTCTTGGTTAGCCAGTACCCCGGGATCGAACCAACGATCAAATGTGTATGGTAGGATATCTCTAACCACTGCGCTACTGAAGGTTCCAGAATCGCAGGCTTAGTGAGGACTATATGACTACGATTAGCCCATGATGCGTAGGCTTTCTCTCAACCTCGGCGTGACTAATCAGTGTGTATTCTGTCATTGATAAGCTAACACGAGGTTGATAAAAAGGTTTGTTTGGCTAATGTTTCAACGTCTTCGTCTTCCACGACCGACTTTCTATTAACCTCGGCATTGTTCAAGTAATTCTTCGTATTCTTGATGAGCAAGCGCGAGGTGTTACTTCTATTCTTTATTCATGAATAAGCTGACGTTTCGGCGGATTTCGCCTTCCTCAGAGTCTGGAAAGGTCAAGTTGACAGTAATCCATTCGACCAAACACCTCCATGACCAAACAGAGAAAACGCTGAACCAAGATTTCAATCACATTGAACACAGCTTTGTACCCTCACCGCTTTCTATGAGGCTTCCACTGAGTATGTCGCGTGAAGACCAACCGCACAGAATTCACATGGAAGCGTAATGTGCCCTCCCATCGGAGTAACAGTCTTATATACTGCCCAATATCACGCGTGATAATGGGGCGTTCTTCCCTGCGGTTCATTTTTGGATCGATTTTTGGATTTTTTTCTTCGTCTTCGTCAGAGCCCACGCTCCAAGTTGATGGTCCATAGTCATTCATTTTTTCGATGTGATGTCTTCATCGTCGTACCGAGTCGGATCTTCTTCAATGGTGCGCCGCTCGAATGAGGCAACCTTACCCGGTTATGCAGTCCTATTACAGGACCCTTGTTGTTGCCAGTGATGATCCTAGCTGGTGATAATGACTTGTTTTTTCTCGGGTAATTCATCCTGCAGAAGTCGGTGCCACTGCCAGCTATTATAGCACTAAAGGAATCAATATTTCAATCACTATAGACCATCGACTTGGATCATCGGCTCTGAGGAAGACGAAGGCGTCGGAACGTTACCTGAATAAACTTTTAATTAACTTCATGCTAGCTGATCAAGGAAGGAATACCTATTCGTTAGTGTATGAACTTTCAGTTTCGAGAAAATCAGCAGGTGGAGATGATCGAACGATTTCTTCCCTATGGTGAAGGTGATTAAATGGATTCTAATTTCGTTGGGCTTTTCAAGTATTGCAACGGTGTAAATTTGACAATATTGAAGAAAATCATTGGGAAAGAAGACGACAACTGTTAGAGTTTTACCAGGCTTTCCTACAATTTAAACACTTCTTCCTAGTGAAAAGAGTGCAATTAGAGTAGTTTATAGTTTTTGTTGATCATCTGTGACCTCTCACTCTTTTCATTTCTTTTACTCGTCTTTGTTTTACTTTAAACAACATGATTGCACTTTGATAAACATAATTATTAACTTTCCTCTAATGGTTTATCTCCTCATCGTGGCTGGGAGGCGTTCCTAGGTGTCGGGCTGCGAGGTAAAGCTGGGGATCCATACTCCTGGCACGGTCTCCCAAGCTGGGAAGGAATCCAGCTTTTTCGTCAGGAAGCCTAGCTAAGAGTAAGCCAATACCAGGATACACCTCCGTCCTGGTATTAAAGTTGCACGGTGGCAAATCTCCCTCTGATCCACAATGGCTGCGACTGCCTGTGGTGTTAACAACCTGGGGTAGAGTTTCGCCAGGTATCCTCGGGACTCCAGGGACTCCAGGTAACCACGATTGCTAAGCCGGCAAAATTCCAAAAAAAAAAGAAAGTTTTGCTGCGGTCCGCACAACCAATTAGGGCTGGCCATCCAATTATCCAAGCAGGTAATTATTAAGTTGGTCTATATGGTCACATTCAGTTACTTAAAATGTTTTAAAAATCGAACACTGTAAAGAGACTGTATTCTGGTTATTCGAATGTTTAAATGGAAAAATAAAGTTTAAACCAGTTATTTTCTTAGAAGAAAGCGCTTCTTTAGGAAAGAAAATCACAATAGTTGAAAATCCATTAACGACAACTAACACTAATGTATTGAGTCTAACCGGTTTCCTAGTGAAAAACAGAGTTTACTGGTGAATTTTTTCAGTTGTTTGAGTTTTGAAATGGCGAGAATCTTTGAACTTCTCACTTTGTTTTCTCTGGAAAAAATTTCTAAGGACAGCATCTTCAAAGTGATATCTTCATCTTATTTGTAAAGGTATGTGTCACTTCTAGAAGTGTGAATTTCTTTAACATTTCTTGTAAAGAGCCAGCTTTAGATGTAATAAGCAAAACGGACGTAAGACGTAATAAGCAACCCGAAACCCGAATTGGACGTTTACGATTAAAAAGGCGTGAATCAATTCCGGCTTTGACAATCTTCGTCGTTTACGCGCCGACTTCAAACTATGACGAAGAAGAAGTCGAAACGTTCTATATGGACTTGCAGAAGTTCTACAGAGACGACCACACATTCTTCAAGGTCATCATTGGAGATTTCAATGCCAAGAATGGACCAAGAAGAGCGTCTGAAGAGCGTCACATTGGAACCCACGGATTAGAATGGAGCGAACAGGGTGAGCGGCTGTCTGAGTTTATCATGGCGACCAAGACAATCCATGGTAACTCGCAATTCCAGAAACCCAACCCTCAGCGCTGGACGTGGGAGTCTCCCAATGGAGAGTGCGATAACGAAGTAGACCACATTATAGTAAATCGAAGGTTTTGCCTAACTGATGCCGCTCTTGTCCCGGAATTCTACACAGGATCACACCATCGCCTTCTTCGTGCAAGATTCTATTTCTGGCGGAAGGGAGAAGAAGCCGCTAAATTCCAAAACCGAAGTCCCAAAACCACCAAAAAATTGGGGTACATTCAACCCATTAGTCGGAGGTTGAGGAGATGCCGTTGTCGACAACATAGGCGAGGAATATGATTGGCTCATTCAACATCTTTACCTTAGCGCTATGAAAGCTGAGAGTTCGAAAGTAACCAAGAGACATTTGTGCTTAGAAACACTCGAGCTGCTACGCCAGCGCGGAATCGCACGAGCTGTGGGCAACCGCGAACTAACATCCGAACTTGCGAAACAGTGCAGACAGGCGATAAAAGAATGTCTCAAAGAGAGAAGAGCAGCAGTAATGGTCAAAGCTGCAGAGCCTGGGAAAAGCATTCGCAAAGCCCACTGGTGCTTCGCCAATTGCAAGACCAAAATGATTGCACTCCGGCACCCAGACGGAACTGTTACAGCATCCAGAAAGGCAATGGAGAAAATCATTTACGAATACTACTCGGATCTCTTCGACACCCACGTCCACCTTGCACCGTATGAAATAAAGGAGGATGGAAATGTTGTACCACCGGTTACCCTTCCGAAAGCCGAATGCCATTTCCTCGGTGAAAAATCGAACAGCATCAGGTCAGGACAGGATGAGGCCAGAACACCTGAAGAACCTTTCGCCAGTCCTCGTAAACACACTGGCTCGGCTCTACACACGTTACCTCTTTGAATCCAAGGTTCCTACTCAGTGGAGGACTAGCAAGGCCGCGTTATTGTTCAAGAAGGGTGACCTACACGATATCGGCAACTATCGCTCAGAACACTAGGCGAAGGACAGCCATGTGAGCAGGAAGGGTTTCGAAAAAGGATTTCGTGCGATGGACCACATCCACACGATAACAAGCTCATTGAATTACCGCAAGAGTACAAAAGACCGCTTTGTCTCACTTTCATCGAATTATAGAAGGCCTTCGTTTCAGTTGATATAGAGGCAGTCTTGGAAGCCCTTGACAGTCAAGGAGCCCCTTTTCAGTACATAAAGATTCTTCGCGAGCTGTACAAAAATTTCACAACCAAGATATCACCATTCTACAACGACATTAACAACGACGTCAGAAGATGATTTAGGCAAGGCAATAGCATGTCGCCAAAATTATTTACCGCTACCCTCGAGAACGTCATGAGAACATTGGAATGGGATAATATGGGAGTGAAAATCGATGGTCAGCAGTTACACCATCTTCGCTTTGCTGATGACGTCTTCCTTAGAACACCAAACATTAGCGAAGCGGAACGTACGCTTGACAACTTTGATAAAACCTGTGGAAAGATTGGTCTTCGACTAAATCTCACAAAAACGATGTTCATGAAGAGCGGATTGGTTTCGCATGTCCCGTTCACGCTTAACGGAACGAATACCTCTGAATGCTCCAGTTATAACTGTCAGGTTGGAGAAATTAATATAATGAACCACCTAGCTCCAGAACTGAGCAGAAAGAAACGAGTGGCCTGGGGTGTTTCCAAGAGCATCGAGGATGTAGTGAAATGAACAAGGAACAGCCGACTCCGTGCCCACGTTTTCGACACAACGGTACTTCCTGCCATGACGTATGCTTGAGAAACCTGGTCGCTGCATAAGTAGGATGAAAGGTCACTCAGCGTTATCGAACGCGCGGTAGAAAGAACGATGCTAGGAGTATCCCGTACCACACAAATAAGGGATGGGATCCGAAGCTCCGATCTGCGTCAACGATCAAAAATTAATGATGCCGTTCTGTACGCCAAACAGTCGAAGATAAGGTGGGCCGGACACGTAATGCGTATGAATGGCAACCAATGGACAAAAGCCGTTAGTGACTGGATTCCTCGGTTTGTCAAACGTACTGCAGGAAGACCACCGACTCGATGTTCAGAGTTCTTCACAAAGAGCCTTGAAGAAAGATATGATGCTCGACGTGTTCCTAGAGCGAGGAGAACCCACTGGGCTACTCTTGCAGGCGACAGAAAAATGGAAGATTTACTGGTGCCATAGTCACTGGACGATCAACGGGACTAAAGGTGATACAGGTGAATCGATTTAACGATTTTGGCTAAATATCTCATGGGTAATAATTCCCGTTTTGCTTATTCATCTGTCACCTGTCACCTGTAGTCTCTTTGATCGTCGAGTGATTCGAGTGGGCGGCAGTAAATTTTCCATTTTTCCCTGTCGTGTGCAAGAGTAGCGCAGTAGGTTCTGCTCGCTCTAGGTATTCGCTGAGCATCATATCTTTCTTCTAGGCTTTTAATGAAGAACCCTCTTCATCGGGTCCGTGGTATTACTGCAATGTGCTAGACAACCAGAGGAATCCGGTCACTAACGGCTCTTGTCCATCGGTTGTCATTTGTACGCATCACGTGTTCGGACCACCTTATCTTCGACTGTTTGACATACAGAACGGCATCTTTGATTTTTGATCGTTGACGCAAGTCGGAGCTTCGGATCCCATCCCTTACTTGTGTGGAACGAGATCTTCCTAGCATCGTTCTTTCTACCGCGCGTTCGATAACGCTGAGTGACCTTTCATCCTGCTTACGCAGCGACCAGGTTTCTCAAGCATACGTTATGGCAGGAAGTACCGTTGAGTCGAAAAGGTGGGCACGGAGTCGGCTGTTCCTTGTTCATTTCACTACATCATCGATGCTCTTGAAAGCTCCCCAGGCCACTCGTTTCCTTCTGCTCAGTTCTTTAGCTAGGTCGTTCATTATATTAATTTCCCCAACCTGACAGATATAACTGGAGCATTCAGAGGTATTCGTTCCGTTAAGCGTGAATGGGCCATGCGAAACCTATCCGTTCTTCATGAACATCATTTTTATGAGATTTAGTAGAGGACCAATCTTTCCACAGGCTTTATCAAAGTCGTCAAGCATACGTTCCACTTGGCTAATGTTTGGCGTTATAAAGAAGATATCATCAGCAAAGCGAAGATGGTGTAACTGCTGACCATCGATTTTCACTCCCATATTATCCCATTCCAATGTTCTCATGACGTTCTCGAGGGTAGCGGTAAATAATTTTGGCGACATGCTATTGCCTTGCCTAAATCATCTTCTGACGTCGTTGTTAATGTCGTTGTAGAATGGTGATATCTTGATTGTGAAATTTTTGTGCAGCTGACCAAGAATTTTTATGTACTGAGAAGGGACTCCTTGACTGTCAAGGGCTTCCAAGACTGCTTCTATATCAACTGAAACGAAGGCCTTCTGTAAGCCGATGAAAGTGAGACAGAGCGGTCTTTTGTATTCGCGATACTTCAATGAGCTTGTTACCGTGTGGATGTGGTCCATGGTACTAAATCCTTTTCGAAACCCTGCTTGCTCACATGGCTGTCCTTCGTCTAGTGTTCTGTCAATACTGTTTAGAATGACTCGAGTGAAAAGTTTGTAGACGGCAGACAGTAATTGGGCGATAGTTGCCGATATCGTGTAGGTTACCCTTGAGTGAGATAGATAGCAGTCGTAAGATGTTTTTGCTTTCCGTTTCGAAGTTGATTTAGAGCATCATTGATCCGTATGGTTTATTCATTGATTTTTCGGCTAGGCATCATTTCTCTTATAGCAAGTGGTTTTTAAAAAAACTGGAGTGAAAATGTTTGATGGGATATGTAATGGAAACGATGTGATTCGTCGTTCACGAGAAAATTCGTTTCAGTTCGGCTCACTTATTGTCTATTTCATTTCTTAGGCCTTCTTAATTTCCTCATTCTTCCATTTTTACTGTTTTCTTAATTTTTTACGGATAGGAAAAGGACAAAGCTCTCGGCGTTGATCAATCGCTGAGGGATGCGTCATGTATTCGACTTCAGTAAGCATCGTTTGGTGGTGATTGAACGCATATCTGGCTCCTACAATAACCAGCGGTAGCCTACCGATGTATCGAGTCCGTGCTGCTATCCCCCAGTCAAGTCTTTTACCAATTTATCAACCCCGGTGAGTTGGAAGGCTTGATGGGCCATGGGTGCGGGGATCAATTCCGCGTGTGTGGTGCAGTGCCCCTCCGACTACCGTGCCACACGCGCGTTTTTATGGGAGAAAAATAAATTTCAAGTGCTGTATTTCACATTTTCCGTAACCCTTCATAAAGAAATGAGAAAAACGAACTACTGAACGAAATGTGGATCTCAGCTGTTTCTGATTCAAAATTTTTCATCAGTTTTTGTGGATAGGAATAAAGTCTGCTGATTGTCGTCGGGTATTCTATTTTTCTTTTTGTGTGAAGTCCCTAATATTGATAAGTCTGGAATGAATGTGGTTGTGTTTTCACTCCCACAATAAATATTGAATTGGTTCTTATATCATTCCTTATCTTTTTCTTCATGTTTCTTTTTTTATGTCTTCATTGTTAACAAATCTCTGCTTTTATCGCGTTGGTCTTCCGTGTTTTTTATTCTGTTACTTTTCCTTTTCTCCGTTTCATTCTTTGTCTCTTTGTCTCTTACTGTCTCATTTTTCTCACCAAAGCTTTCGTTGTCTTCGCGACAATTGTGGAAGTTTTGCTTTCGAAAAACTGGTTCACTTAATCGCAAGGGCGAGGAAGCCCGTGCTTAACGCTAGTTTTTCAATCCTATCAGAGATACAAGCACAATGGTGCTGGGATATTGGCAGAGCTTAGACTCCAGTGCAGATTCGGGCTCACGATTACCTTTTTCGTGGGCTCACGTGTTACGCAGTGCACCACTGAGACCCCTGCTTTGTCTTTATCTCAGCCAATTTTGTACCAAATGGTGCCATTTGTGCTCTCCAGATCATTCGCGGTGACAGGTGACTATTGATTACACCACTGGGTAGAGCCTTTCTGGCTGGAAGAAAGGCAAAGTGGTGCGGTGGGTAACACGTGAGCTACTGGAAAGTGTGACCGCGGGTTCGAATCCGGACTGGGGTCAAGTCTTGCAAACATCTCAGCGTCATTGCGGCTGTATTTCACATCAAACCGTGCCGTGAAAAAAATAATAGCTAGTAAACAAAAGATTAAACTTATCAAAGTTTTATTCCATTTTCTCCTCATTTTCGTTATCATCATCATCGTCATCAACGTAATGAACCCATGTGTTGCCAATTTTCTGTTACTCAACGTTTTCGTCTTCATGGCTTGGTCTATCATTATGTTGTTGTCGAGGGTTGATGCTTTGTCAACTGCGTAATCGACCACATGTCGCCCCAATGTGTGCAATCCTGCTACCAGACAGGTAAGCTCGTCCGCCTCGTCCACCTCGTCTATCCACCTACACATCCACATCGACATTGTTACACACAATGCTATCAGTTGGCCCATTATCATCCAACTTATCCCATTAGTCTCAACATTCATCGTTACCTCCAACTTCTTTATCATTATCGTTGTCGTTTTTGTTGTCGTCGTCATTATCATCGTTGTTCTTGCTGTTTTGTTCCGTTAGTGTGACAGTCTTATTGGTAACGACGATGTTAGCAGAACATCTAAGCATGATTTCATCGTTACTATTTCAGCCGGCAACCCGTTCTAATGGTGAAATGTCCTACCTTTTCAACTCTCATTGTCGTGAAGTCAACAACAAGAGCTCGACGATTGCCTGCCCTATAGACGAGTTTTTAAGCGTTTTTGATTAAGAGAAAGCGTTAAAGTACACATTTTGTCATTTTCTGTGGTAAAATCACTGCATGTTTACGTATTCAAATGGTCTCTTCTTTTTTCCTTTTTCTTTTTTTTTTCTTTCTTTCCTCTTCTTCCTCTTCCTCTTCTTCTTCCCGTTATTATTATTATTATTATTATTATTATTGCTATTATCGCTATTGTTATTATTGCTATTGAGAATCAGTTGACTTTTTTGCTAATTGAACATATTTTCTTTACCTAAGGTTAGTGCTATGGAATGGCGCTCCCTATCGCTTACCTAGCATGTTGTGACAAGATTTCCTTATAAATGACGGCAACTCTTAGTATTCTCATTTCTTTAATATCAGTTGAGTTACCAAACTGAAATATCGGCAAGATTGTTTAGAGTGTGAGTGACGCAGATGAATTATGAATCCTTTACTGTACATCACCAGCCATCCACGAATTCTCCCACTTCCAGAAGTTGGGACAATAAACCACTTAGTAATAGGATGTGGTACGGTGAGAATCAATGGGGTAAATCGTTGGCACTTTTGCATATTGGTTAGAATGTCCTAATCAAAGAGTTGTTCACTTTAATTCACCGTTAGCTCTCTTGGGACAAGAAATCTCAGGAGAAAAACCACATTTGTTACTCCGATCACACTTATGAATAACAACGACTATGAAACACATACACTTCCTTTCCCAAATAAATTGTATTTTCTGTAAAATTAAAATTCGAAAATGAATAGAGACTACGGACAAAAGCCGTGTGTACGTAAGAAGATGATCCCAACTATCAGAAATTATTTTACGTAACATTACGGTGGGGCGCGTGTATCGCAGTGATCAGGGAAGCCATGCAAAACGCATGGGATTGATCCCACGCCCCAGGCTCACGAAGCCTTGCATTCCTTTAGAGTTGGCAAATT